AATTTCCTTAACGTATCTATCATATCCACTAGAGCTTCTTTGTTCAAGGCCAACAACACTATGTCATCTGCGTATGCTAGATGCACGGAGCGAATACGTTGCAACAATCGGTGCTGAAAAGTTTCCGCCAGGTGCCGTGTTCTTGGAAGTATAGCCCGGGAACATTTAAAAATAATGAATTTCGATTTTATAAATTTAGTACTTATTCCTTAAGAAACGTTGTCATGAAATGTTTTGTTTCTAGTTAAGGTATTAAAATCGGCAACAAGTACATTGTACGAATATTTTGTAATAAAAAATGCATATTTAAAAATAATCTTGTAAAAATTGAAAAAAAAAATCTACTGTTAAAATCAGGATGTCAATATAACGATGGGGGAATAATAGTGTGCATGAATACATAAATTTGATAACAATGTAGGAATTTTAGAACAATAACAGTATGGTGAAAATTGTAGGAAAACTTTGTAACTATTGTATAGGTTATCAAAAATTTTATAACTGAGATCACGCCTGCAACATAAAATCCATAATCAACATTTGCAATGAAACATTTATATTGATTTAGCTTCTTTTTCGAGTGATTATTATGAATATATTTATCTGTGACCATCCTTTAGAAATCGTAAAAAAACTTATGACCTTGCTTCATTTTGATACATTTTTAGAATTGAGATATGCTCAAGAAAAACCTCCTTTTACTTTAACCATTTTACTTCATTCAATAAGTATTTATAATAAATAAAAAGCATCTAAATGATTTGTAACACGTGTAACTACATGTATTGTATTGAAATACAATAAAAATCTATTTTTCTAAACAGCTTACTGGAAACAGTGAAAAAAGTTAGAGAGATCATTTAATTAAATGAGGGTATGTTGTTATCTGTATACTAAAAAAATCAGTACCACGTGACGACACGGTACAACGAGATCGTTATATCGTTTGAGCTTGGATTTAATTTTAAAATTTAGCGATTCTATTTAGATGAAATAATTGTTAGAAACATGTTTAATCAAAAAAGTTTAGGGGGGTTGGCGTGCGCAGCGTGCAGAGGGCGAAACCCCCTAGTATATATATCTACGGGGTCAAATTTATGGACGGTATTTTTTAATAGAGTATCACAATTGTATAAACTGTGATATTAAGGCAATTAATATAATTAATAAGCCCTTGGTGCCCGCATTTTGAAACACTCGCTAATGTCCTCGTTACTTAGTGAGTCTGAAAAAACATATATGACGTCGCCTCAATAGAAGTTACAGAAGGTTCTAGTAGAGCGCTCTGTATTTAAAATCCAACTTAATACAGTTGCATTATAAACGTTACCATAAATAATAAGTTTTGGTTGTCAGACACCCGATGTATGAGAGGAAAGGTGAAGTACCACGGCGCGTAACAGAGCTGCGAAATAGACTCTGCACAATGTAACGAGCCCATCCGAGCTAGTGACCCCTTGAATCTATTTCGCAACTCTATGTCTTGTCTTTATCTTTTGTGGTTAGCCATATTGAATCTGTTTTTTATTTTTGGATTTGTAAATCTGTATACTCGAGAACAATAGTTCGAGGCACCGTCGATTCTTACTACTCCTACAGCATAGTATGCATTGCACCGCAGAGCCAGGCACTGTTTCCCTTACTCCCAGATGACACGGTAGCATTACACTATACTGACGATGAGCTCAATAGCGTTTGGATCATATGGAAAAAACCACAGAGGTACCTGCTAAAAAGTAACGGAGCGGGGTCTTGAAATTGAGCCCTACAGACGAAAGGCAAGCCCTCTACCACTTAGGCCACTGGGAACTCTATGACGTGCCGTGACTCTGTACCCTGAGAGAAATCCTGAGCAGAAATTGTAAGTAGGCGGTCAGTGGAGCCTACTTGGGCTACCTCTTTAGCCCACTGAGGTCTTATGTTGACAGGGGCAGGGGACGTTTGGTAGGCGCTAAGTATACAGCCAGTGTTAGCGAAGAGGATCTTCGCATACCCCCACCGCATTTGGAACTTTCCGGAGCGCTTACTGGCCACTCTATTGAATAAATAATCTGTAACTTATAACACTAGCGCCTATCACCGGATGACCTGGAGCGCTTACAGGCTACTCTATGAAATAGTTAATTATTAATAAATAACACAAGCACTTATCACTCGATGACCCGGGGCACTTACTGCCTACTCTGTTAAATAATAAATTATTAATGAAAATCACAAGCGCCTATCACCCAATGAGCCGGAGCGCTCACAGGCCACGCTGTTAAATAATTAATTACTAATAAATAATACAAGTGCCTGTTACCCAATGGCCCAGGGTACTTATAGACCACACTATTTAATAATAATATCTTAATTGATAACGAATGTCAGTACTCAATATTTTTAATAATTACCCAATATGACAAACATCTTTGGTAATTGGCGATCTGGTTATTAATTATCAACTTGTTATTTAGTAAAGTGGCCAGTAAGTGCCCCGGGTCATCGGGTGGTTGGCGCTTGTGTTATCTAGGGATAATTAATTATTTAATATATATATATATTTATTAGTTTTCAACCTAATAGGTCCAGAAAACGGACTCAGTACAATGATCAATACAAACAAAATTGTAACATTACCTTAATCCTAAGGTTTTTACCTTTACAAAATTTCATAGTTTACATAATCTCCATACTTTACATACTTTACATAAATTATTTAAATCACAGTCCCAATTTTTATTTACTAATTCCACTATCTTTTCACTTCTTATACAATAACTTTCAATAATCCTTTTATCTTATTTGCTACTACGTACATATAAATATTCATTCAGCGCTTATTACAGTTCCGGCCCTTTTTTCTTATACGAATTACTCAATCCACCCCATATTTTTGCAATTTTTTACGAGCTAACCTCCTTTAACATTTTTTGTACATCTAGCTCTCCATTCATTAGGTGACGTACCTTGTTTTCCTTTACAATTCTACATTCCTTTATTAAATGTTCCAAACTCCCTTCCTTACAATTACACAATTCGCATAGCCTTTTATCATTTTCTAACCAATACCTATTTCCCCCATCCAG